ACACCTTTTAAAGGAAGAAAACAAAACTGAGATGCACAGCATACCAATACCATGTCTAGAACCCAACAAAAACTAATAGAAAAGCTGAGAATTTTAGTTTAAAGTGATCACTTCCCGAACAAAAGCATCATTCAACAGATACAGACCAAGAAATGAAAGAGTTAATGGTACTGACCTAGAAGAACACAAGATCATGTAAGAGAGGGGAAAATGGGTGATGGAAACAAACAAATGGGATTAAAGTCCAATCCTCATGGAAAAATGTGCTGGACACACTTCACAGGTAACCAGACACTCGAGAATGAGTGATCCCAGAACTGGAGGACAGCACAGACTCCTCAGCAGAAAGGAGAGGCTGAGACGACAAGCTGAGCCTTGATGACCTGGGACGCAACATCCTGTAGCCAAATGGGAATCTGAGAATGACAGGGACGGGCAGCAGGGGAAGAGACATCTGTGAGAGCATCTTCCAACGCTGAGGGACGTGCGCAATCCACAGGTGCTAGAAGCTGAGAAAGCCCACAGAGAAAACACAATTACACAGCAAGTTTATTTAAATGATAAAATACCAGTGAAGAGTGAGATCTTAAAGTATGCAGGGGAGAAACTCAGATCAGTTGGATACAGAGGAATGAAAGATTAAATGACGGGGGCTGGAGAGGTGGCTCAGCAGTTAGGAACACTATCTGCACTTGCAGAGGACACAGGTTCGGTTCTCAGAACCCACATGGCGGCTAACAACTGCATATAACTCCAGTTCCAGGGGATTCAACACCGTCTTCTGCCCTCCATGGGCATTGCATGACACAGGTGCACTTACATACATGCAGGCAATAATTCATACATATAAAAAAATAAAAATAAATATCAAAAAAGAAAGATGAAATGATTGCAGGCTTATTAAAAACAATACAGACAGGAGGTCATCTTTCAGGGAGGGTCTTTTTTGAGACAGGGTCTCCCTGTAGTCCTCAGCTGGCCCGGAATGCTGGAATTAAAGAAGTGTGTGCCACCCCACCCTTCATGGCCATCTTTAAATAGCAAAAACTATCAACCTGGAATCAAATACCAGAAAAATACCCTTCAAAAATGTTGGAGACTTTGTCTTTAAAAAGGGGAGGGGTGCTGGGGAGATGGCTCAGTTGGTAAAGTGCTTGCAAAGGACCTGATTTCAATCCCTAGAACCCATGTAAAACAGCAAGGCATGGCAAGTCAATTTGTAATCCCAGCACTGGGGAGGTTGGAGACAGATCCTGGTCAGCTATTTTAGCCTAATTGGTAAGCTCCAGGCCAGTGAGAGATCTTGTCTCAAAAGAGGTGGACCGAGCCTAACATACACAACATACACACACACACACACACACACACACACACACACATGAACATGTACATACACACAAAATTTCAAAAAGGGGAAATGTGCTGGGTGTGGTGGCGCACGTCTTTAATCCCAGCACTTGGGAGGCAGAGGCAGGTGGATCTCTGTGAGTTCAAGGCCAGCCTGGTCTACATAGTGAGTTTCAGGACAGCTGGGGCTACAGGGAGACCCTGTCTCAAAAAGACCAAAGGAAAAAAAAAAAAAAAAAAAAAAAAAAGACTAAAATAAGGGAAATGTGATTATCGACCATGGTATACATGATCGTTGTAATTGCTGACATTCCTTTTAGAAGCTGTGAAATGTTAAAACTGTGCTTATGTAGACACAATCTTCTGTCTCCATACAGAGACACCAAATTCTTTAATAAAGTCTATTTATACTAAAATAAAAAATAAAAATAAATAAAAAGTAAAATAAAAAGGGAGAAAATCGCAAAAATGCAATAAAAGATAATGAGAGAAAATCATAAAAACAAAACAAAAAGTGTTGGTGACTGGAGGTTAGGGAGGGCAAGGGAGAAAGGAGACAGGGAAGCTGGGTAAAAGCACCAGGGGCACAGTCAGAAGATGGAGTTCACAGTATCTGTTGAATAAAGAGCTTCTAGAAGACAGGAATTTTAAGATCTCCAACACAAACAAATGATGAAGTTTAAAGAGATGGAAATGTTAATCATTCCCATTTTATCACTCCACGTTCCATAACTGTACCAGAGTATTATGCTGCACCACAGAAGGATGTGTCAGCAGATGTGAAATAAAGACATTTTCAGGCCAACGAAAGCCGAGAAGCTGTCATCAGCAAACTGACAACTACATGTTACAGGAAACTCTCCCGTAGCCAAGTGACAACAGATTAAAACTGAATCTATGCAAAAGGAGTGGTTTCAAGATTAATAAATATGTGAGTCACATTAAAAAAATCTCATTGTCAATTTCCGTAAAATATAACTGACTTTTAAAATAGAATAACAACATACTATGATGTTTATAATACTAAGAAATAAGATATACAACGAAACTAGCACGACAGACAGATGGAGGAGACGGAGTACACCACCAGAGAATTCCCGAATGGGAAGCACCACAACATGATCTGAAGATGGATTATGTCTAGATACGGATGCACGCTGTGAACCAAAGAGCCATCATGGGAGCAAAGGAAAGCAGGGAGAAGGGAGGGGCGAGGGAGGAGGGAGACGGGGAAACAAAAAAGCACACATAGCTATAAGGCAAAAGAAAAAAGAATTCTGAACAAAACTTAAAAGAAGTCAGGAAAAGAGGAAAGTGGAGAAAGTAATGAACGAGAGAAAAAGAAAATACCAAGACGACACTAACCCAAATGAAGCAGTCGTTACTCTCTGTAAACAGTTTACACTCTCCCAAGGGCAGAGAAAGAACCACCCAGAAGGGCACACAACCTTGGTGGGAAAGTACGGTGAGACCTGGGTCCTTGAGCAGATTATTCAGATGGGTACCACTGAGTAGTGGTGGCATGTGCCGGGAAGCCCAGCACTGGGGAGGTGGAGACGGTGGGTCCTGGGGCTGCTAGCCAGTCTGTCCTGCTGAAGTGGTACCTGCAGGTTCTGGGAGAGACCCTGTCTCAAAAACAAGGTGGAAAGCAAGAGCTGGATATCTGACCTTTGGCTTCCACACACAAGGGTGAGCATCCCTAAATATACATGTGCACATACATGCACAAAACACCTACCCCAAAGAAGACAAGAATGTGCATGTTTGAGTATAGATGTATTTTATTTTAGAAACGTCCGTAAGGATGCATACAAAATACTTAATACCCTGATGGCAGCCAAGGAGGGTAAAGACTTTTTTAAGCTTTTACTCCAGATATTTCACATACTTGGTTCTTTTCCCTTACTGTAATATGTTTGGATAATTTAAAAGAAGTTTATTCACTCAAAAGAGAAAATAACAGACAGGTCTGGTAGTACAGGCTATAACCCCAGCCTCAGAGGCTGAGAAAGACCAGAGCTGAGCTACACATGTAGAGCAAGACTGTCTCAAAAAGCCTAAATCAGTAAGAATGACAAAAATAACCACCTTAGATGCTAGATACTTTAAAAAGAGAGGATAAAATCTGCCAAAGAAACTCAAGCCGGGTACTAGCTCCTAAATAAAGCTTAGTATTTATTCAATGAAAATGTATTAACTACAAAATTAAAGTACCTAGGAACTATCATTTCTTAGTGACAATAGATTGATTATACATCTTATTTTTCTAAAACTTTTAAAAAAAACATTTATTTTTATTTTATGTGCATGAGTATTTTGCCTGCACGCATGTATGTGTACCATATGTGTGCAGTGTCTCCTGGAACTGGAGTTGCAGACAGTTGTGAGCCTCCATGTGGGTGCTGGGACCCGAACCAGGTCCTCTGCAAGAGCAGCAAGCACTCTTAACTGCGGAACAATCTCTCCAACCCCATTTTTCTAAATCTTAAAGAGAAATTATTTAATATCTAAATAGTATTATGGATTTATGATTATAGGTTAAATAATGAGGCTGATATATAAAAATGTAATAAAAATGTAAGTAGCACCATATTATAGAATACTATATGGTCTGGGGGCATACTTACAATACTTGCTCACCAAAAACTGAATGATTACAAACTCTAGGTTAGTAACGTACTAACCTAGAAAGGAGGAAAGAAATCACAGGTCAAGAAATTAGGGAAGGAAAAAAAAGGCCTGTGCAGCGGTGCAAGCTTTAGTATCAGCAGAGGTCAGCAGACCTCTGTGAGAGCTAGGTTAGCCTGGTCTACATAGTGAGTACCCAAGGCCAGCTGGGGCTACAGGGAGACCTGTCTCAAAACAACAAAAAGAAATTAGGGCAACATGTAGCAGAGTCAGAAAGATTGTGCATTTAGAACGAGAACCCAAGACACACAGTGCTTAATGTGTTGTAGTTCAGATATTTCCATCCAAATTTCTGAAAAAGACTGTGCTTTTAGAGTATGTGTAAAATTCAGACACTTCTTTAAAGAGCGGAAGTCAAGCAAAATGGGTTGGTAAAAATGTAAAACAGTACAGCCGCTAAGGGCAAAAAATGTTTTGCAAACATAGAAAACCATGATACAGTAGTTTCACCTGCAGGTATGTGTCCAAAAGGACTGAGAGCAGGGACTCGAACAAGGGCGTGTGTCCAACGTTCAAAGCACATTATTCACAACAGCCCAAAGTGGAGACATGGACAGATCACATGCTGCAGCACGGCTGATCCTTGAGACACTGTGCTACCTGAAACAATACACACAGGATGAGCAGTGTATAGTTCAACCTATGGGACTGATCTGAAGTACCCAGAACAGGTCAATTCACAGACAGAAAGTCAAACAGGATGTCAGGGCTTGAGAGAGAATAACAGTTATTATTTAATAATACCCAGACTGTATTGGAGATAATGAGAAAGTTCTGGAGGTAAGTGGTGGTAATGGTTACACGGCTCTGTGAAGGGGTCTAAATGCCAGAACTGGCTTGAGCTCAGTGGTTCCTCTCTGATCAAACGTCACTAAATGTACCTAATGCCACTTAACTGCACACTTAAACTAGATTAAAATGGTCATTTTTATGTTGCTATAAATCTTAACACTTTATCCCTCCCAAGGGGATGCACCGCTCCTGGTGGTATGACAATACCAGATCAATGCGTGGAATGGATGGCACGAACTCCTATTCCATCTCCTATCTCCAAAAATCCACTTACTATATTGTCCTCAGATAGAGGACCGAGGACTTACCAGATATGAAACGGTAAGAACAGCCATTACACTTGATCTTAGCCAAAAGGCTGAGAAGAATTGAATCTTACCAAAGATTATCCAAGTAAGTGAACTTGCACAACTCTGAGAGTGAAGGGCACCCTCATTTCATGTTCCTCCTCCTCTGGAATTGGTTGGGTACCACTGCACTGCCAGTTAGCATATGTCAGTAATTTCACAGATACTGGTGCCTAGTAGCACAGGCTCTCAAAAGAAGCCACCAGAAGCCTTAGGGAAAGGACAGTACTTAAAATAGTCTTTATACAGGATAAGGCAGAAGTGGTACGGGGGCAGAGCTGATGCTCAACTCTGCTTTAGGGCACTCCTGGCGGCTACACGCTCATGCACATGACCTTGGCACCAACTTCAAGAAAGCAAAGAAAGAAGCCTCAGCACACTATCCAACCTGCCTGGGTCTGACCTAGTTACAACAGGACAGCTCAGTCACCTATGCTTCTACTTCCTCCCAGGCTGTAAACTCAGATCCCTCCTTCCCACTAACGTTTAAGTCCCTGTTATCACATCTCTAAAAGGAAAGTGAACACGGACACCTTCAACCCCATCTATTCTTCTGACCAATATCATCTCTGACTCTCAAAAAGTCAAATTTCAGGAAAAAAGATCCATATGCCCTGTGCCTACTCTCTCTTTAGTCAAGCTCTACCCAGACTTGTGGTCAAGGACACCTGCAACTGTCTTGCTACTACTAAGTCCAATGGTCCCTTGACCTCCTGAGCAGAGGACCCAATCTCCCCCTCTTCCTTTTCAGAGTACTCTCCCCAGCCCTCTATACACACATCCTCTTCTGGTTTTCTTGCTTCTTTTCTGCCTCCTCTCCCTCCTTGGTTATGGTAAACTGAAGCTCTCTGAAAAAGTTGTATCTATAGGAAAACTCCGGCAACCTGCTTGAAACAGGGTAGACCAGGGGCTGGCCTTGAACTCACAGAGATCCGCCTGCCTCTGCCTCCCAAGTGCTGGGACTATAGGCGTGTGCCACCCTTTTAGGGTCAATTACCTTAACTTCTTTATCAGACCCAACATTCCCATGACTAAGAGATAAACCTCTTCAAGGTTTCACTATGCTTTAAGAGTCTCCACCAACTTGAAGGCTCTGAACATCTGATGCCCACAGCAGAGATTCTCCAGCTTTGCCCTAGTCTGCTTATTGGATGTTCCCACAAGGTAATTGGAAAACTGTGACTTTCCTTTTTTCTATGACCAAAAATGTTCATGTAGTTTCTACACAGTGAAAGTGGAGAATGTCACTCAGGGTAACCTAAGTCCATGTTCCCAGGTCACAGCCATTCATATTTGGCTCAAAATAAACTATTTTCTGATTTCCTTTAAAATAGAGTTTTAATTTTAAATGAACAAACTTCAGGTTTCCTTTTGGAGATAGTCCTCACAGTAAATGTCCATGTTCTCCTGGGTCCTCTTCTGTGGCACATTCTCCCTAAGGACTTCACATGCCATCTGCACACTAGGAACCCGTCTATGTTCCAATTCAAGTCTTTTCTCTCAGCTTTCTTAGAAAGCTGCCAGTCAAAGGCTGTCCGTATGCACAGCCCCAGCCTAGCCTTTGGGAGCTGCTCTTCATCTTCTGCCCCCTCCTTTCGCCATCTGTAATACAGTTATCTTCTCTCCCTCTGCCCGGCATTGTAAATTATATGGAGAAATTGTACCTAAATTATTAAGTTAACGCTAAATAATCTTTCCTTAGATTCACTGATCCTTGGGAGTACTCCCAAACACGTCTCCTTCAGAGCACCCTAACACGGCTCCTTTTCTTTGGTTCTGTGCATCAACTAGCACAAAGCACGTAAACTGCTATGGTGTTTCATCTGCAGAAAGTACTGGTCCATGTCAAGAGAATATAGGCACTAGCCCCAGGTTGCTTGATTACATGGTTGACTGCATTCTGGCTAGAGGGAAAAGACAATCAGCACACACCCTAGATGAGGAAAACCCCTCAGTACAGGGCCTCACTGCAGTTTTCTCTCCCTTACAGACACAGTTTCAGCCCCTCTGTGCCTTAAGATAGAGCTTAGAGGATGAAGGGCCTTCAGTCTTCTCTGGACCAGCCCTCAAACAGAATTCATTTTCTTCCTACCAACTCCTGGCTCCTGAATTCCTAGTTTGTTTCTTCATTGATGTGACAAAATACTCTGACCACTACCAACTTAGGGAGGAAAGGGTTTATTTAGCTTACATATCCTGGGTCACAGTTCATCCAGGAGCCCAAGGTAGGAACTCAGGGTAGGAACCTGGAGGCAGGAGCTGGAGCACAGGTCATGGAGGAACACTGCTTATTGGCTTGAGTATTTTATCTGTATGCAAGTATGCGTACCACTTTCCTTTGACTGTCCCCACACACCTCGAGGCTATTTTGGACAACTTCTCTCATTCCTAGAGATGTCCAAGATCTATTCACTTCTGTCCATCACCTGTCTGAGTTCCACAGTCTAAATCATCACTCTTTTCAACCACCTCAAAAGCTTCCTCCAACTTCCCCACACTGGCTTCTTACTTCTCACTGACTTCACTGTTCTGACCCTGCAGCTAGAAGGATCTTTCTAGTGTGCAAACTGTGTGATTAAACCCTTCCTAAAGTGCTTCTTGAGATTCTTATAAGGGCCATCCTGGCACACAGCAGCTGTCAACACCTACTCATTCATTAAATAAACTAGGTCTGAACGCTAATAAACAACTTCTTAAGTAGACTGAACACTTTCTAGTCTATGCCTATTGTCTTAGTAGAATTAGCAACACCCTCTTCTGTTCTCAAAAGTTCCCCAATTTGGAAAAAAAAAATCTATGACCACTCTACCCTAAATATCCCTATGGCTGGAGAACTTACTATCCAGCTAGTTATACATTCCACACTTGCTGAGCTCTCTTCAGTTCCATAAACATGCCACACCTTCTGCCTCTGGGTCTCTGAACATGCCTTCCTTCTTTACCAGACTAACTCCTACTCATCTTTTAGGTTGAAGCTAGATTTCACATAGGAAGCATTCTGTGATCTGTTTCTCTTGGGCTTCCATTGAACACTATACTTTAATCACGAACATACACCTTACTGTTACTGCTTACATACATGTATGTATTCTCAAGAAGTTTTTCATCTTGTTCAGCACAGCAGGCACAAGAATATTTGGTGAGTAAATAATACATCCACCTGCCATAAAATAAAATGTCTACTACTTAGTAGGTGCTTAGATGGGTCAACCTAATAAAGTGCCACTTCCAAATAAATCTAATCTAGCTCAGTTTTCAAAATGCAGAAAGTACTTTTCTTAAAATGAAAAACTTCTTTTAGACTAGATTTATTGTCTCACATAAAAGAACCAAAAGCCAGACTTTAACAGGCAATCAGAAAACTCTTAAATTTATACATGGAACTTTATTTTGCAAAACGCCAATGCCTATTCCATAATCTCTTGTGTCTTTGAGTGTGTGTAGTATATGTGTGTGTGCACGTGTGGATGCCTGGAGAGGCCAGAAGTCAACATCAAGTGTCTTCCTGGGCTCTCCACATTATCTTTTGGTTTTTAATTTATTGGTTTTTTTTTTTTTTTTGAGACAGTGTCTCACTATGTAGCCCTGGTTGGCCTGGAACTCAGATCTGCCTGCCTCTGCCACCAGGGTGCTGAGATTAAAGGTGTGCACCACTACATCTTTTGAGACAGGGTCTCTTATGAACTTGGTATTCACTATTGGCTAGACTGGATGGCCAATCAGCACCAGATACCTGCTCATCTCTGTGTCATCCTGCCTCCAATGACAAGGTTACAGGTGGGCAGACCACATGTGACTTTTTAGATGATACCCCAGGATCTGAACTCAGGCCCTCATGGTCAAGCAGCATCAGGTGCTTTACTGACTGAGCCACCTCTCCAGCCTCCACCACCCCCACCCACATACATTTCTTTTTCTTTTCTGTTTGTGGTTTTTTGTTTTGTTTTGTTTTTTGAGACAGGATCTCCCTATAGCCCCAGCTGGCATGAAACTCTCTATGTAGACCAGGTTGGCCTCAGTTTCACAGACATCCACCTGCCTCTGCCTCCTGAGTGCTGGGACTAAAGGTATGTAGCCTCACACCTGACTCATATTTCTTAACACTTTCTGAACCTCTAACAAGGTCTAATGAAGACTTTTCTCCCAACAGACTTGGTTTTTCTGCTTATTAAAGACAACAGAGTCAATTTTAAAATTCTGTACTCTAACAGATGCTACATGGTTGCCTAAGTTGATGACCAGTGGCCAGATGGAAGGAGCTGATCTGCGTTCACTATCAACAGGAACAGTCAGCTGCTACGCCAGGCACTGTTCTAGGCAGAACTGTGGCAGAAAAGCAAACAAGGCCCCTTCCTTGCTTCAGAAGCATTTGCTTTCATAGAAGACAGCTAATCAATGCACCAGGTAATTCCAGGTTGTGGAAGTCTATTTAAAGACACTGATGGTGGAACAGAGCCAGGCCTGGAGGAGGGCTCTTAAAACAAAGTAGTTACGTGCCACTCGGGCTGAACCCTACAGATCAAAGAACAGAAGAGAGGCTGGACATGGCAGGAGGAACCACAGTGCAAAAGCCCAGACAAGGCTATGCAAAGCCAGTGTGAAAACACAGACCAGCAGCCAAACAACACAGGCATGCAGGGCTTCACTCTTCCTATGCAGAAGGACTGGCATTCAGAGAAAGGGTATTATACAACCTATGAGTAAAATACACTGAAAGCAAGCTGTAGGATTTAAGTACACTAAAGCAGTCTGATGAGGAAGGTATGATGTAGGTGTTCAGCCTCCTGGGCCCATGGAGCAGAGACTGCTCTTGGCCAGTTTATCTCTTGTCTCAGCCCTCTGCACCGCCTTTGCCCTGGAAGTTCAATAATTAAAATGCCATATGATTGAATTAAACTGATGTGTGGAGGGGGGAGACAACCTGTGGGAGTCAGTTCTTCTTCCACCAGGTAGGTTCATGGACTGAACTCAGGTCCTCAGGCTTGGTGGCAAGTGCCTTGCTGGGCCATCTCTCCCACCCCAG